GGGCTTAGGGCTCAGAGTTTAGGGTTGGGTTCGCACGATTGTAAACTGCTGAGTATCAGGAGTATACCCCGAACACTCTGTTGTTGCTGGTTCTAGCCACCGCCGAATGCCCTGATATGAAACCCAATTATCTACACCAGTTATCTACACCCAGCTGATTCCGAAACCACTAACCAAAACCCTGAATCCCAGTCCTTTCGATCTCAGGAAAAGAAGGAATGAAGCGACCTTAATATATTCCGGTCTCTCGGGCTATGTTGGGCGCCTTGATGAGTTGAGTTTGGTTCCTTTAAACGGGTGGTCGGTTTAGGGTTCAGGGTTTAGGGATATAGTAAAGGTTCAGTATTACGGTCTTTATAGACAGGAAAGGGTTTTGGGGTATATTCTCGTGTAATTATCAAAGGACTTTAAGGAGATAGTAGCAGCAACTACTCCGACCGACCCCTGTTTACAAAACTATCTGCTAGTGAACCCTAGACTCCGATAAGCCTTCAGCTCTCTAAACCCACGCCCGAATCTCTATACCCCACACACTCAGACCTCAACGCCGAAGCGTAAAGTCTAGGGTATGTCGTCATTTTATTTCATAAGGACTGCAAGGGAATACGACTGCCACGTGCTGATTTTTGTATATTTGCTCCGACGTAAGAGCTGCAGCGGCGTTGAAGGAACAGAAGCTTTGTGCAGCGGATAAATATGGTCTTGCAAACGCAGGACGCCACGGCAAAAAGAAACTCCCATCCACGGACCAAATCAACAAGAACATAAGTGCCTGAATGATACTCGTTCCTAACTAGTTTGTTCAAGATGGAAACCTGTGTTTCAAAGGGCCGCTGAGGCTAATACTGCTGCCGGACGAGGAGCGCAAAAGCCTCGAGCCAGCTCCGCAGCAGTTGGCAGACAAGGAAGATCACCTGGGTTTTGAAGTAACCAGGAAGAAAAAAGTATAAACCTCTATTTCACAATGGTTCCTTTAAGGAACAGGTCCCAAAAAAGTATTAAAGTATAGTACTCCAAAGCCCAGTCACAGCTGCGGCTGCAGCAACGGGGCTAGCTATCTGCCGTAGACCTGCGGCTTTAGGCTTCGAAAGCTTTTCCCACAAACCCTAACCTCCCAAAACCTAGAACCCAAATCCTAAACCCTAACTTAACCCCAGACCACAAAAAAAAAACAAAAAACCGAACCTACGACCTTCCGAAGGCGATTAGTTCGAGGATCTAACTCTGCGGGAAGGGAACCTCATAGAGCCACATTTCTTCGAGGTTTTGGAGAGTTTTCTGGTTGAGGCTCTAGCTCTTCGGGGATACAGTTAGGCCCTCAGGCTAGATGCTCACGGGTTTTGATGCCAACCCCGATGATGAAAGCCTTAAACTGTAAAGCAGAGAACAGGGTTTAGGGTTTAGGGTTTAGGGTTTAGGGTTTAGGGTTTAGGGTTTAGGGTTTAGGGGTTTAGGGTTTACGCCAATCTCCGTCCTTCAAGCCGCCAACCCGCCTATCCAACCAAAACGTTGCAACCGACTCTCAGCATCTTGAACCGATGCCTTATCGATCCCTATACTATAGACCCCTTATCACTCCGGATTTATGAGGGGTCTTTGGGGATTGATAAGGGAACTGCAGCCAAGGCATTTCGGGGGATGCAGTAGTACATACTGGGGACACTAAGTACCGTTGAATCGCCCTCCCAACACCCTCGCCGCCATCGGACAGTGGATTGCGCTCAAGGCATAAGGTATAGCAGTCAGCCTGTATCAAAGCCCAGGCGAACACCGCCCAAACCCTTTTGGTACCACTTCAATGATAAAAAGCTTCGTTGACATGCAAGCCTACATGATATTTCGCATTCCTAAGATTGGAGGTCGCTATAGAGCCTTATAAGGTACATCTCGAAGCACTAAACTGCTAAACCCTACAGACTCAAAGTCCGTAGTATTGGAAATTATTTTGGCGCCAAAGGGCACATCCACAGCGAGGCTTCCTCCTCAAAGCTGGAGAGCCCCAGTTCGGAAAAGAGGGCGGCGAGCGCCGCCAGCAAGAGGGCCCTGCCCCGGTTGGAAGGACTTCGGCGTGTCTTGTATTTAATGTGTTATACTGTAGTATACTTTGGTAGATTCTAGCATTTCAAAGTACATTATAGCATGTTGTAGTGCATTTTTGTCATCGTATATTGTAGTATAATATCGTATGTCGTCATATATTGTGATAGTATGTTACGGTATTTGCAGTATATCAGAATAGATAATCGTAAATTGTAGTAGAACGTAGTACATGAGTATATTATCGTATGTTAATGTATCGCGTGTTATATTACTATGTATTATTCGGGTTTCTAAATTCTCAAACCAGTTTTACAGGGAATCCCTTTAGAGGCGTTTGAACTTAGTACGGTGCTGTCTTGAGCATGTTAGATTCAGTCATTTCGACTCATGGTTTCGGATTTCTTGCTTTGGAGGGGTGGGCGGGTTGAGAGCTTGAGTAGGAAGACCTTGATGGCTTCCGGTCCGGGCTCGGAACCCTATGAACCTGAACCTAAGACTGTAAGCCCTGAGCCATGAAACCGGAGCCCTCAGCCCTACACCCTGAACATGTAACCCAAAGCATAAACGCCCGTCAAACAGTCAAAGGCTCATAGCACGAGAGACCTCATTGGGGGGTATGGCTCAGCTGATTCCGCCACATGATCCTAATGCCCGAAGCCCTTCCAAGCCAACATTCCAAACCCTAAATCCGAATTATCCTAATTCTGAAAGCCTAAATGCCACTAAACCCTAATCCCTAAACACCCTTCAAACCCAAAACCCTAAACCCTAATTCTTGAGCCCTAAATGCCCCTAAACCCTAAACACCCTGCAAACTCAACAAGTCTTTCGTCGAGGCTCATGGCCATGAGTCCAGTCCTGGGATGTTCAGGGTTTAAGGCTTTATCAAAAGTTTTAGAGCGGTTCTTCTTACTTCTAATGGTTTAAAGCTTTATTAAATGCTTTAGGGCAGTTTCTCTTACTTCTCATGGTTTAAGGATTTATTACATGCTTCAGGGCAGTTAATGAGTATCCTATAGCAAAAACACTGATGAACTTCAAAATACCAAGCGTGCGTCTTGCTATAATGTACGCAATGTATGCTGAATGTATGCTGAAGAGCAGAATCTGTACTAGAGCAAACCTGCAGAAATACTGAAGTTAAGAAACCGTGTTCCGGAACTGCCGAGTGTCCACTGGTCCCGGTGAGCTACGCAGGCAGCCGCCCAAATGGTCGCATGCAACAGGAGCCTTAGGTAGTCCGGGTTGTGCACGAGCTCTTCTAATGGTTCTAAAGAGCTTTTCATAGGCGCTTTGCAGCGTTCTTAAAGGCTCCTTGTCATGTGAACTTGTTCCTGAGGGTTCTCTACAGGTCTGCTGCTGGGTTCTACATAAAGTCCTTTAAACGTTTTGTTTAGTGGGTTCTTTACCGGGCATCTATACTTTGCCATATACGGTTCTAGAAGAAATCCAGGCGTCAGAAACCCTGCGACTCGTGACGAGGATCCTCATTCATCGTCGATGTCAACTCGTGACAGGCTACCCTAAACCCAAACCCCCAAACTTCGGCTTTTTGAAAAAGCCGAAGCACTACCACCTGAGCCCGAAGCCCTGAGACCTTCGAATACAACTTACTTGAGCCTCAAGCCATCCTCCAGCCATGGGCAGTTCTCAAACTTAGGGTCCCTTTCAGGGTCCCTTTTTTTATAAGGGTGCCGTACTGTTTTGGGGACCCAAAACGGGCGCCCCTGTCTTAAGAACTACCCCCATACACCGGGAGCATCCACAAAGTAGCGGCGCGAAGTCGGCATACTGAGCCTTACGGTACTTTAAGACATATACCATATAGTTCCCATAGTTTAGGGTCCTTAAAGCAACGCAGGATTTACAACTATCCTGGACAGTAGGATGCCGCTTGAAGGGTCTGCTCCCAGCGCCCGCATATGATGGAACCTTTACGGCAACTCTAATCCTCAAATCCTATGACTTACCTTACAATCCGACCAGCATCAACGCATTTGTAGAACCCTAAACCGTGAATCCCTAAACCTAAACACAGCCCTAAACCCTAAACCCTAAACCCTGAATCCCTAAACTCTAAAGCCCTAAACCCAGTCAGGAGACCAAAGAACTGTGGCCTCGTCTCTTTGGGGAGGCTTCCTGAGCGTGAGAGGGGCCGAAGCTCAGAGACAGCTTGAGGTTGAGGCGTCCTAGAACGGCTTGAGGGTTTAGGTGGGGTTTCCTGCGGTTTAAGGTTTAGGGTTTAGGGGCCTGAGGGTTTGGGATGAGGGTTGTTCAAAGTTGAGGATTGGAACTTCCAAGCCCCATTGTTTTCAAGGTTTCTGGGGTGTAGAGTTGACGTGCACCAGCGTGAAGGCTTGGGGCTGCGAGGGTTTAGGGCTTCTAGGGTTTGGGGCTTAGGGTTTAGGGTTTAGGGTTGGGGATTTAGGGTTTAGAATTTTTTTTTCAGCTTAGGGCTTGGGATTTAGGGTTTAGGATTTTGTTTTCAGCTTAGGGTTTGGGATTTAGGGTTTAGGATTTTTTTCAGATTAGGGTTTGGGATTTAGGGTTTAGGGTGTTTTTCAAATTAGGGTTTGGGATTTAAAGGCTTGGGGTTTTGGGTTTTGGGTTTTGGGTTGGGGCCGCTGGTGGAGCTCTGGGGGGGTAGAGGATCTCACGGGTTTTTGCCTCGCTCGGTATCTTAGTTCCCTAAACCCTAAAACCTAAACCCTAAACCCTAAAACCTAAACCCTAAACCAAAACCCTAAACCCTAAACCCTAAACTTAGGGTTTAGGGTTTAGGGTTCAGGCTTTTAGGGTTT